AATGTATCTGAATGTGCTTCTTTTTCTCATTTATTATAGTAACATCAAACAGGCTCTTTTAATATCCACAGCTATGACACCTCATTTCCTTGAAAGCCCTGTCTCCATTGGTCTTCTCGCATCTTCACAATCCACTCCCCAAGGTCACACCTTGTCTGATTACCTTGTCTTTATCAGAATCTCTGAACCCTGACATCAACATCTCATTCATTCTTTGACCACCACCTTTTGTTCTTCTAGTTCAACTGTTGTTCTACAACTCCCACTATGACACTTCTTCAACCTTATTAAGACTCGTGACCCATGGACCCCATTAATTTTTCACCATGTATCAATTTTCTCTAATCATTATTTCTCTTCTTAACAGCTTAGATTTGGTAGTCCATTATTATAATCAGTCTCACAAAAAATATTTTACTTGCAATTAGCTATTTCAAAGTCCCATTCCTGACTTTAGTTGCTCAGATGCTAGCTAGTAAACAAATCACTGCCAGAGAAAATTGTCTTGGGATGACTTGGTTTCACTTCAAAATTCAGGATTTGAAACTTTAATGGGTACTCAAAATTGCCTTATCCTTTCATAAGCTTGCTTTCTTATTCTCCAAGACACCAATATCATAACTTTTTTTCCAATTTAGACACCACCAGAGCTCCTTCATCATCCCAACAACAAATCTACAAAATCTCGCTGGACCTACCTCCAATCTCTCCTGTCACAGTAAAGTTACAAAGGCCTATCCTTCAATTTCCCCTGTCCCCAACCTCTGCAACCCACATCCTTTCTCCTTCTCAAGGACTTCATTGCTTTGTGAGTCCCCTTCTTTTTCCTGATCATGAGCCTCTCCCACTGAACTCAATCTTTTCAATTATTACTGAAGCATGTTCTAATAGTGATCATTTTAAAACAAAACAAGGGTGCCTGTGTGGCTCAGTCGGTTAAGCATCTGCCTTCAGCTCAGGTCAGGATCCCAGGGTCCTGAGATCGAGTTCCACATCAGGCTCATAGCAGGGAGCCTGCTTCTCCCTCTGCTCTGCCTGCTCTGTCTGCCACTCCCCCTGCTTGTGCTCTCTCTCTCTCTGTTAAATAAATAAATAAATAAATAAATAAATAAATAAATAAATAAATAAATAAATAAAATCTTTTTTAAAAAATTTTTTAACAAATAAAACAAAACCCACAACTCCTTCCAGCTACATCTCACTTCTGAATTACTAAGTGCTTTTATTTTTTTTTTAAGACTTAAAAAAAAAAGACTTTATTTATTTATTTGAGGGGAAAGGCAGAGTGAGGGGGGAAGCAGGCTCTCAGCTGAGCAGGGAGCCCAACTTGGGGCTGGATCCCAGGGCCCTGAGATCATGACCTGAGCCGAAGGCAGACACCTAACTGAATGAGCCACCCAGGAGCCCTTTGGTTGTCCAATTCTTAGTGAAAATACTAGATACTAAAAACTTGCAACAGTAGATACTCTAAATTTATCCCTGGATTAAGATGCTGCTCAGACTGCACTGATGTGGGCTGAGACAGTATTATATTCAGTAAATTGAGTTCATCATTATTTTTAAAGCTCTATGAAATTTGTTACTCATAAGTTGTAATTACATAACATTATAATTATAAAAATAAGCTATAGAGACATTACTGAAGAAGTCGTCCTTGTGAATTCAGAAATTTCATTCTGGACTCAGAATCAAAAAAGGCTATGCATCTCCTAAGCAACTTATTTGATTTTATCCTTTGAACATTCTGACAATTGGAACTCAAATGTTTTCTTATTACTTTGAGTCTGCACCCTATCGACTGAACAGTATACGTTTCTGAGTGTTAATCTTATTCATATCTTTATTAATTTCCTGCTCTTATTTTCTCTCTCTGTTTCCTTCAACTATTTATTTTCACCTTTCATATTTTAGAAACGTGTAAACTATTTTTAATCCTTAAAGAAACAAGTGGAAATAAGGCAAGGTACAAATAGATATAGTAGAGATAAAGATCAAAATAGAAACAGAGGGGAACATGGGTGGCTCAGCTGGTTGAGCATCCATCCGACTCTTGATTCTGGCTCAAGTCATGATCTCAAGGTCCTGAGAACAAGTCCCACATCAGGCTCCATGCTCAGCAGGGAGTCTGCTTGAGATTCTCTCCCTCTCCCTCTGCCCCTCCCCCAGCTCATGTGCACTCTCTCTCTCTCTCTCTCAAATAAATAAATTAATTTAAAAAATGAAACAACTAATGAATTGTTGAACAGTACATCAAAAACTAATGATGTGTTATATATTGGCTAATTGAACATAAGAAGGAAGGGAAGAAGAAAGAAAGAAAGAAAGAAAGGAAGGAAGGAAGAAAGGAAGAAAGGAAGAAAGAAAGAAAAAAATAGAAACAGATAAGAAACACCAAGAAAAACAGAGAGAAAGGAAGAGAGAGGAGGAGAGGGAGGTGGCAGTGTTTGTTGTGTGAGGGAATAAGTCACTGGAAATGGAGCTTAAGAAAGTGGCATGGCAGGCATATATACACATTTAGGTAATGGCATATTCCTTCTGAAATCCCACTGTACTGAATCAGTAAAAATAATCAACTTTCAAGTACAAATATTTATAATTCTGATTATAAAAATATTTGATCTCATAAAATTTGACCTGTCTTATTATTTTTAACAATTTTTCAGAGGTATAACTGACATACAAAAAACTGCATATATTTAATGTATACAATTTGATGAATTTGGACATATGCATATACTGGTAAAACTATCACTACAATCAAGGTAACAAACATAGCCATCACCTGTCTTACTACTTTCAGTTTAGAACTCTGGAAATCATTTTCAGAAATTTCTCTAGTGAAGAGTGTTTCTCCTAAGTATTTTTATCTTCAACACTTTGTTTTTCCAGAATTCACATAATAAACTCTGATTACATTGAAGCACCATTCTATTTTCTGAAAATAAAAACCTATTCAGTTCCCCCAGAGAATGTGATTTGATATCTTAGCCAATGAACTTCATTTGCTTTTCTCTTGTCTGCTTTGGCTGATCTATAACTAATCAGGAAATTGAACTAAAATTACCATCAGCACACTTCAAGGCTTGGTTAATTATCAGGCAGGTTTTAAAAAGAGATGAATATGTGGAGCCCACAGAAAATACTACCCAATATCCAAAGGCAACTTACAAAGCACTTGACAGTTTACTAGGGAAAAAATACTGGGTTCTTTCCATATGTAGGATTTTTTTCTGTCAATTCAGATTTCTAAACCAAAAACTATGTGCCTGTTTCATAAAAAAGAAAGATGCCAAACACAGACTGGGTAGAAATTACTTCATTCCTTTCTTAGGGAGGAACACTCTGATACAGCACGAGAGAGCACCAACATCTGCCTCAACCCCAGAAAACTACTCTCTTCATACCTACCTCCCTTTATCACCGAAGGGCACTCCCTAGGTAGAATTCTGTGTGTCACTGAAGCCAAAAAACCTTCAAGGAATTGTAATAGCTACTACTCAGGTTTCAGGTTACATAGCTCATTTGGTTCCCTATTTAAAAGGTCCTGTCTTATTACATTATTTAGTCTGTCTGCCCATTCTATGGCTATGAAGGCATTGCCATATATTCAGATGAATGTGAGAAAATCAGTTATATATCTGGATATTTGGTGAAATTTAGAAATGATAAGGTAATCATGGGCAACAGCTATGCTCTAAGAGTTACCTTATCTAAAAAAGAACAAATTAGGACATAAGTATTCCCACTTGCATCAAGAATAACTTTTTGCCTTTTTTTAATAATCTCAATTTCAGATTCATCATTACAGCATTATCAAATGAAGTTGAACAGATGTGTACAATTTCCCAAGGAAATGTTGGCAATATTTTTTTTAGTTTAAAGAGAACAGTTTAACAAAGAGAAATGTACTAAAATAATTCCATCATCCAACTGAAGATTAAATCTAATCAAAACAAAATGGTGCCAATGCAAAAAGCACTGCAATCATAACCAATCAAAAAGACCATGAAAAGTACAGAATCCTCTCATTCTTTTAAGAATTATCTTTGATTTCTATGCCTTATTCTAGAATTGTTAGTTGTATCCAAGTCTATTTCACCAGCCCCCAATCTATATATTCCAAAACTGTAACATTGTTAGTTTCTAAAATAGGGATGTGTTTATATTCCTCCTGCTAACACCTTCATTTTTCAAAAGGGATATGTCCCTATTTTACTATATCTTCTGATGATGCAAGAAATAACCAACTAAAACTGCAAATGCATAAAGTAGAAAGTGGAAGCCCATTTCACAAACTTCAGGGATTTTAAAATTGGAGTGTACTCAGCCAAACTTTTTTAACATATAAATATCAATATATGCATTTATTCACACTAATACCCTTAGTGTTCCTAAAATTTGTTAAACACTATTTTCTTAATATTTACTTTATTTCCATGAAGGTGTATATAACTCAATGAGTTTAGCAGCTTCAGTAACCCACATACATCAAAAGTCAGTTTTACATTGAGTAGTTTCAACTATTATTCTCAGATGAAGCAACCAAATCAACAATATTTACATCTGAAATTCAAACTTGACTACATAATTACTCTTTTCATTCTACTGAGATTAGTGTCAGCAGAAGCTTCACACTTTCACCTTCATTTTTGCCAATATCCAAAAGGAGGATGTATGAATATAGATACACACACAAATTAATTCCAGTTTCTAATAGTTCCTAAAACCTAGTTCACCATATACCTATCTCAACAATATTTTCAATTCTTTAAATTTCTCTCTCAAACTCTCCTAATCCCCAAAACCAAAGTTACATATCTCTAATAAAACAGGATCCTATCTTCATAACTTTTATGTCCTAAATACTTAATACCATGGCTCTTTGTTTTCAATAACGAACTGAACATATCCTTTGCAGAAATTCATGATGTGATGATGATCTGTGATGTAGTGTTCTCAATGGACAATTTCAAAAGCAGTAATACCATAGTTTTACTTACGAGAGGTTTTAGAAGCAAGAAGAGTAACTCGGGAACCTCCTAAGAAGTGAAAACCCATTACATTCACCTGATCATCTTCTGACTGATTGGCAAAGCCTACAAAGAAAATTAAAAAAAAAAAAAAAATCACCTTACATAACCACAAAGAAAAACACTTAATGTTTGAAATAGGAAGTTTAGTTGATGGCAAGTATTTTTTATGTTACCAGTCATGCTGAAAGTCCATATATAAATTAATATATAAGCTGATTTCCATGGTAATTCCCAATTGCTTAAATCTCTCCCTCACAATAACATTCTTAAATCATTTAATTTCCTTCCTTCTACTGCTTCATTCTAGGTTTGAGGCAGGAAATGCACAAGATAAACCTCAAACACCTGTCACACCAGAAAGCAAGGAAACTATCACTGACTAGCAGAGTAGTATGAAAATAAAAGCGAACTTAAAGAGATTACTGGCCAGAGATGAAAATATTTGAGTATCAAAAAAGTGAAACACATCAAAAATATCTAAAGGCATGTGTTCATATTGATCTAAAAACAGAAAAGGCCAAATGCTCACTAAAGGAGGCTTCTAGAGAATCAACTCAATATTTTAAAAATCAGTAAGACAGAGCAGAGCAAGTTGGCGGAGGAGTAGGAGACCTGGATATCATCTGGTCCCAGGAATTCAGCTTGGATAGAGATCAAACCATTTGGAAGACCTACGAACTCAACAGGAGATCGAAGAAAACAATAGCAGCAACTCTCTGAACAGAACAGCGACCACTTTCTGGAAGGTAGGACGTGTGGAGAAGTGAATCTGAGGCGATATTCGGGAGGATAGACGGCGGGGGAGGGAGCCTCCGGCGGCCGCTACTGGCAAGTGATAGAGCCGTGGAGCACAAAATCGGAACTTTTAGAAGTCAGCTCCGCCGAGGGACGTCACTCTGGTGGCTAAGCGGGGAGTGGAACCCTCCGGGACAGTGTGGTCTCAGGACCCTCGGGGTCACAGAAAGACCGGGGGTGCCTGAGTGCAGCAGAGCTCCCAGGTATCAGAGCGGGGAAGCCGGCTGCAGAGACGGAGCCGAGGGGCGGGCTCTCAGCTTGGGGTGGCCATAAACCGTGATCCGCGGCACAGTCAGGCCAATGCTCTTCCAGCAGGGACCCAACAAGCGGCAGATCTGGGGAGACTCCCCTTCCTCCCCCAGGAGGAGCAGCGCGGGAGCACAGCACAGGGATCTGCGGGGTTTGGAGACTCCACATGGGGTCGGGTGCCAGAGATAGAAACACTCGGTCACAGGCCGGGTGAGCACGGAGTGCGGCCGGAGACTGGGGAGATGGGAGTGACTGACTGCTTTTCTCTGGGGGCTCACTGAGGAGTGGGGCCCCGAGTTCTCAGCTCCTCCGGGGCAGAGATTGGGAGGCCGCCATTTTCACTCTCTTCCTCTGAAGCTGTACAGAAAGCTCGCAGGGAACAAAAGCTCCCGAGAGCAAACCCGAGCAGTTTACTTAGCCGGGATGGCAAGGGTGGGGCAATTCCGCCTCCAGCAAAGACATTTGGGAACCACGGCAACAGTCCCCTACCCCAGAAGATCAGCCAGACCAGCCAGCCAAGACCAAGTGTACCAATCAATGAGAACGGCAGAACTCCAGCGCTAGGGGAATACTGCACATAGAATTCATGGCTTTTTTACCATGATTCTGTAGTCTTTCAAAGTTAATTTTTTAACTGTATTTTCTCTTTTTTTTTTAATTTTTCTTTTTCCCTTTTTCAACCAACATCTTATCAATCCCTTTTTTAAAAAAAAATATTTTTTATTTTTCATTTTTAGAGTTATATTTTATCCTTTCACTGTAGTTACCCTTATTTTTGGTGTATATATATATAAGTTGTTCTCTCTTTAAAATTTTGAGATATAGTTTCTTCTAACAGATCAAAATATACCCTAAATCTCTAGTGTATGGCTTTGTTATAGTCTCCTGCCTGATCACATTCTCTCCCTTTTTTTTTTAAATCCTCTTCTTTCTTTTTTCAACCAACTTTTTATCTTATCAATTTCTTTTATAAAATCTTTTATACTTTTCATCTTTTTTTTTTTTAAAGATTTTATTTATTTATTTGACACAGAGAGAGAAAGCACAAGTAGGTAGAGAGGCAGGCAGAGAGAGAGGCAGAAGCAGGCTCTCCAATGAGCAGGGAGCCCGATGCGGGACTCGATCCCGGGACTCCAGGATCATGACCTGAGCCGAAGGCAGTCGCTTAACCAACTGAGCCACCCAGGCGCCCTATACTTTTCATCTTTACAGTCATATTCCATCCCTTCATCATATTAACCCTTATTTTTGTACATATATGAGTTTTTCTTTCTTTAAAATTTTGGGAGGCACTTTCTTCTAACAGACCAAAATACGCCCAAAAGTTAGCGTACGGCACTGATCTATGCACCAGCCTGATCATATTTGATCATATTCTGTTTTTTTGTTTCGTTTTGTTTTTGATTGTTTTTATCTTTTTCTTTTCATTTTTCTTTCTTTTTCTTTTTTCTTTCTTTCCCTTTCTATTCCCCTGGTTTCAGGTCTTTTCTGATTTGTTTAGTGTATATATTTTCTGGGGACGTTGTTACCCTGTTAGCATTTTGTTCTCTCATTCATTTATTCTCCTCTGGACAAAATGACAAGATGGAAAAAATCACCTCAACAAAAAGAACAAGAGGCAGTACTGACTGCCAGGGACCTAATCAATACGGACATTAGTACAATGTTGGAACTAGAGTTCAGAATGGTGATTTTAAAGATACTAGCTGGCTTGAATAAAGCATGGAAGTTATTAGAGAAACCCTTTCTGGAGAAATAAAAGAACTAAAATCTAACCAAGTCAAAATCAAAAAGGCTATTAATGAGGTGCAATCAAATATGGGGGCTCTAACTGCTACGAAAAATGAGGCAGAAGAGAGAATTAGCGATACAGAAGACCAAATGATGGAAAATAAAGAAGCTGAGAAAAAGAGAAATAAACAACTACTGGATCATGAGGGCAGAATTCGAGAGATAAGCGATACCATAAGACGAAACAACATTAGAATAATTGGGATCCCAGAAGAAGAAGAAAGAGAGAGAGGGGCAGAAGGTATATTGGAGCAAATTATAACAGAGAACTTCCCTAATCTGGGGAAGGAAACAGGCATCAAAATCCAGGAGGCACAGAGAACCCCTCTCAAAATCAATAAAAATAAGTCAACACCCCGACATCTAATAGTAAAAGTTATGAGTCTCAGAGACAAGGAGAAAATCCTGAAAGCAGCTCGGGACAAGAGATATGTAACCTACAATGGTGGAAACATTAGATTGGCAAAAGACCTATCCACAGAGACCTGGCAGGCCAGAAAGGACTGGCATGATATATTCAGAGCACTAAATGAGAAAAATATGCAGCCAAGAATATTATATCCAGCTAGGCTGTCATTGAAAATAGAAGGAGAGATGAAAAGCTTCCAGGACAAACAAAAACTAAAGGAATTTGCAACCACAAAACCAGCCCTACAAGAAATCCTGAAAGGGCTCCTCTAAGCAAAGAGAGACCCTAAAAGCAACATAGACCAGAAAGGAACACAGACAATATACGGTAACAGTCACCTTACAGGCAATACAATGGCACTAAATTCCTATCTTTCATTAGTTACCCTGAATGTAAATGGGCTAAATGCCCCAATCAAAAGACACAGGCTATCAGATTGGATTAAAAAACAAGACCCATCAATATGCTGTCTGCAAGAGACTCATTTTAGACCCAAAGACACCCCCAGATTGAAAGTGAGGGGGTGGAAAACCATTTACCATGCTAATGGACACCAAAAGAAAGGTGGGGTGGCAATCATTGTATCAGACAAATTAGATTTTAAACCAAAGACTATAATAAGAGATGAGGAAGGACACTATATCCTACTTAAAGGGTCTGTCCAACAAGAAGATCTAACAATTGTAAATATCTATGCCCCTAACACAGGAGCAGCCAATTATATAAGGCAATTAATAACAAAAGCAAAGAAACACATCGACAACAATACAATAATGGGGGGGGGACTTTAACACCCCCTCACTGAAATGGACAGATCATCTAAGCAAAAGATCAACAAGGAAATAAAGACTTTAAATGACACACTGGACCAAATGGACTTCACAGATATATTCAGAACATTCCATCCCAAAGCAACAGAATACACATTCACCTCTAGTGCCCATGGAACATTCTCCAGAATAAATCACATCCTAGGTCACAAATCAGGTCTCAACCAGTACCAAAAGACTGGGATCTTTCCCTGCATATTTTCAGACCACAACTCATACAGGAATTCAGTAAAGTGGCAGGATATAAAATCAATGCACAGAAATCAGTGGCATTCCTATACACCAACAACAAGACAGAAGAAAGAGAAATTAAGGAGTCGATCCCATTTACAATTATACCCAAAACCATAAGATACCTAGGAATAAATCTAACCAAGAGGCAAAGGATCTGTACTCAGAAAACTATAAAATACTCATGAAAGAAATTGAGGAAGACACAAAGAAATGGAAAAACGTTCCATGCTCATGGATTGGAAGAACAAATACTGTGACGATGTCAATGCTACCTAGAGCAATCTACACATTCAATGCAATCCCTATCAAAATACCATCAGCTTTTTTCAGAGAAATGGAACAAATAATCCTAAAATTTTATGGAACCAGAAAAGACCCCGCATAGCCAGAGGAATGTTGAAAAAGAAAGCAAAGCTGGCGGCATCACAATTCTGGACTTCCAGCTCTATTACAAAGCTGCCATCATCAAGACAGTGTGGTACTGGTACAAAAACAGACACATAGATCAATGGAACAGAATAGAGAGCCCAGAAATGGACCCTCAACTCTATGGTCAACTCATCTTTGACAAAGCAGGAAAGAATGTCCAATGGAAAAAACACAGTCTCTTCAACAAATGGTGTTGGGAAAATTGGATAGCCACATGCAGAAGAATGAAACTGGACCATTTCCTTATACCACACACAAAAATAGACTCCAAATGGTTGAAAGACCTCAATGTGAGTCAGGAATCCGTCAAAATCCTAAAAGAGAAC